CCTGAACTCACATGCCAACATCAAGGAGGAATGTGCACGGCCCTAACGCTGCCAAGACGGCGCTTATAAAAAAAGACACACAACAGCTATGTTTCCATTCATTCATTCGTTCATTTTCTTGTCGGCTTAGTCCCTTTATTAATCCGGGGTAGCCACAGCAGAATAAACCGCAACTTATCCAGCAGCTTTTTAGCAGCGGATGCCCTTCCAGCCGCAACCCATCTCTGGGAAACATCCACACACACATTCACACACTCATACAATTTAGCCTACCCAATTCACCTGTACCTATGCAGGGAGAACATGCAAACTCCACACAGAAATAGCAACTGAACCGAGGCTCGAACCAGCGACCCAGCGACCTTCTTGCTATGAGGCGACAGCTCTACCTACTGCGCCACTGCTTCGCCCCAGCTATGTTTCCATCTACCTATTTTTATGCGCATTTTGCATATGTGCATAAAAAAAATTTGATGGAAATGCCGTGATGCACATACATTTTGAAAATGTGCATAAAAAACTTAACGCATAACTATAGGATAACCTTTATATTCGATAAGGAAAGATGCGCATAAACTATGATGGAAACACTTTTACTGCACAAATTTAAGTATGCGCATTAAAAATGGTCATGTGATTGTGTGAAAAGAGATCATGTGATGATGAAAATGTGTGTGAATGGTCAAACCAGCAGGCTGATCACACTGCAAACCATCTGAACTGTTGTTTTGGTCATTCTAAAACGCCTTACCGTTTAAGTATTAGTGTTATTATTTTTTAAGTATTATATTATTATTGACCTCCAGAATCAAGAGCATCTGTGCTCCGCGTCTGATACCTTCAAACGCCACCTCACGTTCACTGCCAATCAGGATTGCCTTCTGAGGCGCAAGTCGTTTATTAGATCAAGAAAAGATTGACGCAGCTTCTCCTGCTGCAGCAAATTCCATTTTTACTGTTAATATTTGGCGCCAGTTAATCAGGAAGTGACGATTTTGTCCGCTTTGACTTGTTGGATGAAAACGGCACATTATTTGTACAACTTTTATGCGATAATCCAGTTTTGCGCATAAAGTTCATTCGCATTATTGGATGGAAACATAGCTAATGACAGAAAATGAGTACTTGACCCAAGAAATCTCGAGCCAAACACAACGCACAAGACAAGACAGGACTAGTGTCTGAACTCTGCCACAAAAACAAGAATTGACACGACCAGAGTGGCAGAATCCTGAGTCTTAACTGATTAGTACCTGGAAAAATCAAGAAAACAACTTTTAAAAATATACAAATAGCATGAGAGTGATTGATCTTTATTGTTTTGCACTTATCTTCATATTGTGTTATTCATTTTATAAAAAATTATGAATAATATTTTTTTTTTCTTTGTGACATGTCGGACCTGTAAGACAGCGGTGTAACACCAAAGAACAACAAAAATTAAATATGTTTAAACATCTGAGACAAAATCTTATTAGGTGCATGTCTTCAGTTTTTAAAGCAAGAGGTCTGGGGAAGACAAAGACATTTTTAAGCATTTACTGTATTTAAATGTTTTGTCATGATTAGTCATGTGTGACAGTATAAATACGTCGTCATGTCAACAACCCATATACATTATACAGTATGTGTATGTAAAAAAATATATATGAAATTATTTGTGGATTAGTTTTGTAGAATGTCTTCTTTTAAGGATACCTTATTTATTTTATTGGGGTATGAATAGAGTTTGCTAGTTGCTGACTGAATGCTCTCTGTCTCTGCAGGTGATCAGTGTTCTAGATGTGTTGCACACCGTCTTAAAGAGTTCTCCTCCACGTGAGCAGGTGGTGACTGTTCTTCTCGATCGAAGGGTCGAGCAGCTGTACTATTTGCTCCTCAAAACCAACTATGGGGATGAGGCTCGAGAGAGATTATTCAGGGTGAGAACAAACCCGCACTTTAAATGTCTACTGAAAGTAAAACGATAAGATCTGTACTTTAAGTATAAAGTAAACTTATTTGTCTGGCTCTTCTGTAGGTCATGTATAAAGTTCTGAAGAGTGAGCGTGTACATGATCGCAACAAACAGCTCATAAAACTCAAGGACTCTGGCTATCTTGGGCTAGTCTGCTCCTTTGGCGACGTCCCCATCACCATGACTACTGTGCGCTGTTTGTATGAGCAGGTGCTCGCCACAGGTGAATTAAATTCAGATATATTGTCTCTGACAAAAGGGTTGTTGTTTTTTCTGTAACGTTATTTAGATGATCCATTTGAGTATTAGTAGACTGTCTGCTTAATGTCTGTTGATTCTGCTGCTAAACAGACATTTAACTGATTATAAGAAACTTTGCAAGTACATGTCAATTTATAGTAACCCTAACCATAACTCCCAACCTAACAGTATACTTATAATCTAATGAGAATTAGTTGTCATGCAGATGCAATTTAACTTAAATTCAACAAGTGGACCATCAAAATAAAGTGATCATTTCTTTCAGTAGTGTATTGATGTATAAACAGGGATCACACAGAAGTCACCTTCAAACCCTCTTTCTGTTGTCAGTGTGGAAAATCCATATGACCAATTTAAACCAATTTAATTTTGTATTGTGTAGTTCTAAGTGTCCTCCATCTAGGTGAGTGGGCTTGACAAACCACCTGTAGGATTTACTCTTTCCTCTCTATGTACCAGGCACTTTATTAGAAACACTTTATGTTTTCTACATTTATTTGTATAGCTAAGATTTTTTTTCATATTTTATTATATTTTATGGCTATGCTCTTTATATTTAAAGTTGTAAATATTTTATATTTGGTCCTATTTTTTATATAATATAACTATTTCTATAGTTGCAGTCAGAATTATTGGCCCTTAAAAAAAAAAAAACAATTCAAAGGGGAGCTAATAGTTCTAACTTTATATCTAAAGTTGGCTGTTTTGTTACTCCAATTATAATTACACTTTATGCTTTAAAGTATTTATAATTATATTTTATTTATACTTTATTTATACTAGTATACATACATATATACATACATATAGATTTATTTATTTATTTATTTATTTATTTATTTATTTGAAGTCACAAGTCATTGCATAAGCATTTCACTGCATACCGTACTGTTTATGACTTTATGTGACAACTTTTTTTTTTTATTGAACTATTTTCACAACTGTTTGTTGAAGTTTTGCTGTTTGAATTTCACAATTAAATTACTGGAATTTTAAAAAAATACAATCTTTATTGCCAGTGATTGCTTTGCTCTTTAGTTCCTCATTAGTTAGTGACAGTTCTGTATTGTTGTTTACTTGTTGCAGATCCCACTCCTAGTTTTAAAGACTTGTTGGCAGTGGTGTACTTATCCCATCGTGCCGATCTCAGTGCTCGACTAGAAATTGTTCGTAAGGTAAGTGATGGATTATCAAAGGATTTGTCAACCTAAAAATCTAAATTCTGTTAATTACTTACTCTTGTGTTGTGCCAGTCCCCTGAGATTTATCATCGGAACACAAAATAAGATGTTTTAAAAGAAATCCGAGAGCTCCCTCATCCTCCATAGACAGAAAAGGTTATGAGACATTCAGAAAAGGAAGCAAAGACTTTTTCGAAACATTTCATGTGACTCCAGTGGTCCAACTGTAATAATGCGAAGCTCCGTGAAAAATTTTGTGCACCAAAAAACTGTAAAAGCTACTTTGTTTGCCTTTGTCTCCCACATTAAATCATGGTGCATGATTACTACGAGGAATTAGATGCTTGCACATTGTGTTGCTGACTCTAATGGCAATACATTGTATTGTGCACAGAAAACACCCACTCATGATGACATGATGATAAAGAGAAAATATAAGCAAAACAAAGTCATATTTACAGTTTTATCTGGCACAGATAAAAAAAAAGTGTTAAAAAATGTTCTTGGAGCCACAGTTTAATTTCTCCTGAAGTCACATAGAATAGTTTAAAAATGTTTTTGTTTCCTTTTCTGGACTTTGAATGTCTTGGGACCATTGCTTTCTGGAGGATAAGGGAGCCTTCAGATTTCATCTAAAATATTTGTGTTCTGGAGTTCCAGTTATGGTGCCTGAGGAGTAGTCACGCTTGTGCTCCGCTCCCAAAAGACTTTTCAGTTTTGTCTTTTAACATCAGTGCTTTTGCTGGTATCTGACAGTATTTCTTTACCTACTGTTCTGTGACTTAATTCATTTCTGAAATGTCAAAGCAAGGGGCAGACAGGTTGATAAAGCAAGTGAAGGTTCTCTTTCGCAGAATGCTAACCACATGTTAGCCGAGATTTGTGCGTTACATGACGACTTTAGAGCTTCAATCGCAGAAGACTTCAAAACATCTTTTGAAAGATTTGCAGCCAAACTAAATAACATTCAATCCACAGTGGCTGATCATGATCTTCTCATTGGAAACCTCGAGTCTTTTGCTACAGAGATTAGCTAGCAGCTCTATCAACTCAATGCTACGTGTTTGAGGCACCAGAAGAACAACGAGTGGCTTAAAGCTGAAGTCTTCGATATTGAGAGTTGCATCCAGCGCCAAAACATTCAAATTGTGGGCTTACTCAAACCCGACCAATGTTTTTTTACTCTCAGCTTTTGGTTGATTTCCTTGCTGCTCGAGCTAGACAGACCTCACCATGGCCTCACACCTAAACCTGCACCAGATCAGAGACCGCGACTCATCATTCTAAAATATTTGTGTACTGTTGATGAAGAGGTTTTGGTGACAAAAACATTGATTCATTTGTAAAATCTTTTAAACTCTTAAAATTGAAAGTGAACCCCATTTTTAACCCTACTGTATGTGTTGAAACATTCCTGCAATTAAATGTTAATAAAATAATGAATTCTGTTATCTTTTTTTTTTATCCCTGCAGCTCTTCTGCTTGATCCACTCCAACGAAGAGTATGTGAAACAGCTGGCTCATCAATCAGGCTGGCAGGATGTTCTCACCAAACTCTACGTCAAAGAATCATACGAGTCTCGTGTTCGCAGTCAGTCCAATTCTTTATCCAGCCCCACTTCCTCACTGGACCCAGTCCTTTCCAGACCCGTCTTCCGTCGAGATGACAGCGTAACAGAGGATGTTCGGCAGAACGTCTATATCACCCTCGCTGCCCGCCACGAAGAAGACTACGAGGAGGAGGAAGGAGAAACTCAGGATGCTTCTGAAGGCTTTTCTGACCTTTCCCAGTCTCCTCCATCAACCGGGCAGCTCAAGAATGATTCCCTCCACTTTAAGCCATTTGACTCCGGAGACCAAAGCAGTCATTCGTCTACCTTGTCCAACACTGTAGACTTTCCACCATCTCGCCTGCAGGAGGAAGATGAAGCCGTGTATCAGCCCCTCTCACCATTCGGCTCACCCTTTGAGCTGGAATTAAATCACCAGAAAGGACCCCAGACCCCCGTGGGTAGCCAGCCAGAGACCCCCTCTCCTCTAGAGCACAATAAAACCTTCCTAGGCATGAGACCCCGCAAGAGCTCCAGTCTGTCTAATGTTCTGGACGACACAAGCTACAGCACCGAACCACCTACAGACACAATCTCCAATACATCAAACCCACAGGTACTTGCTGAAATTGGTTTCAATCACTTCCTTAAGGCCCTGAAGACCTTAAGAACTGCAGACCAATACCCTGTGGGGCAATAAAAACTTTTAGAGCTCTGTGACAGTGCTTCTTAAACTCCCAAGAATGCCTCAAGATCTCTTAAAATGTTAATAAAAACAGAGCCATGTAATAATGGTTAAATGATAATCATACTTATCACAAGTATTCTGTCAATTTAAAACATTTTATATCACAACAGCATGTTTCTTGCTTTCTGCAGGTAAATAATTCATCTTAAATTCACTAAACTTATAAAAACTTTCAGACTGCATGATTTTAGCCCTGCATGATTTTAGCCCTGATTTTGACCGGCTGATAGGTTTTGGGAAATCACAGACAAATGCCTGAAATCACAGGTAAATCAATGGTTGTGCACGTGAGTAACAACCACACAATATGAACTATTAAAGACACGATCTGAGAGAAAATAACACCGTTGATTACCAGCCAATGAGAGAGCAGCATCCACTAGTATGGATATCTGCAGGCCAGCAGGAGGTTGGGGGAGCAGTTAAAAGCGACGAAACGCTATCCCAGATAGTCATGCAGTGTGAAAACATCTGTGACACGACTGCTTTGAAAATCGTGCAGTCTGAACTCGACCCTAATTGTGGAAAAAATAATGGTCAAGTCTAGTGACTAGTATTGGGACCAATCATCACTTTCAAGTAGTGGCTTAAAGCCTGTCTATTTTTGAGATATTGGCCACATCCGAAACCGCATACTTCCATACTGTATAGTATGCTAAATAAGTATGCGAGCTGAGTAGTATGTCCAAATTCATAGAATTCGAAAATCAGTGACTTACTACTTCCAGCGAGATTCTGAAGTGCTCATCCCATGCACGCTGCACTATCCCATGATGCCCGCGAAAGAATTCATGAATAGGAGTAAAGCAACACAACTGACGCAGGAAGGTCACGTGATGATGACAAAATGGCGGATGTAGTACATCCGAGTTCCATTCATAGTGCTCAAATTCTTACTGTATAAAACTTACTTTTCTTACGACTGATTAGTACGTTTAAATTCAAATGCAGTACCGACTGAGTAGTGGGCGGTTGCGGACGCAGCCATTGATTGTTTATTAGTACTTATAAAGTACATATTCTGCATGATCTTTTCATAGATCCCTATCCAACACCTATACCAACTACTACCTTAAAAACCAGTAAAAATCAGCAAATTGGGAGTTCATTAAGCTAAAAGTCATAGTTTATGTTTGTTAATAGCAGGAATTGTACCTTAAAGATAAAATGTGACTGATTAGGTTTTGTATTATACATACAATTGTAATACTATAATGTATGTACAGTCTGTGTACTAAGTATATGTTACGTTGTTATAAACACATTAATATATAATACATATTATTATTAGTATTATTGTTAGTAGTAGTAGTAGTATTATTATTAGTATTAATATTAGTATTCTAAATCTTGTGGAAGAACCAGTGTTGCCTAATGTAGAACTTTACTTTTCTTTCTCTCCCTGATTAGGCTCCAGAAGAGGAGTTGTGTAATTTGTTGACGAACATCGTTTTCTCTGTGCTGTGGATTGGCACTGAGGGGTCTGAAGATGTGATATGGAGAGAAAGAGGTCAGGTGTTTTCTGTCCTCACCAAGCTTGGGTCATCCTGCCAGCTGGTGCGGCCACCTGACGACATCAAACGCAGGTCAGAAACAAAAAAACTTGAATGCTTTGGATCTTACAGATTACAATACAATGACAGCACACTACAACTGAGAAATACCAGCTATTTATTCAATTCAATTCATTTTTTTTTGTATATAGCGCTTTTACAATGTAGATTGTGTCAAAGCAGCAACACATAAAAGATTATAGTGACTTAAAACTGTTTTTAGAATTTAAATTTAGTTTACTGTGGTTTAATGTTTATTTTGTTTATATCTTAAAATTAAATAAAGACACTTTTATCTGATTAACTTCATATTTATCTTTTTATTTTGCTTCATAAATAGCAAAACAGTAAATGTGCTATAGACATGCAAGCAGCGTTGCTAATAAATTTTACAAACATGCTAAAACATGCTAACCGTGTGTTAAAACATGCCAGTAACATGTTAAGTGTGCTAGAAACATGCTACAACATGTTAGCTATTTGTTAGAACATGCTAGTAAGATATTTAGTCAGGCTAAAACATAAATAAACATGTTAGCAAAAAAAAGCAGGATATGGAGTAATGATTGTATTGATTTACTTGTAGTTTACCACTTAATGAGTTTGCTCATTCATTAGTACAGTGTCATACTGAAAACTCCCTCAAAAGTAATGTAGAGTATGACAGATTTTAGAGGGAAAGGTCTCTATGAAATCTGAACCCATATGTTCTGAAGACTTATTTGAACACATGTAAATAGCAGTTGGAAATAATAATAAAAACCTACAACGTGATTGTGTCAATAAAAGGCATACCTCCAGGCAAAAAAGGAGTCAAAACATTTTTTACATGGACCAAAAGGCTAAGCCCTTATTCCCTTATAACCACCATATTCAACACCCAGCAATAATACTACTGGTTGCAGTGACATATTTTCATTTTTTGCTTTGTAAAACTTAATTTAAGTTGTAAACTCCCTCATTATGGGAACAGCTGAAAGCCAGTAGAGATCAGAGCCTGAAGGGAGGGACCGTAGATTAAAGTCTTTTCTGGATTCCTTTGGTTCAGAGAAGGGCAGGGCAGGGATCTTTGGAGGGCAGAAGTGCTTTGCACTACTGGGCTGTTGCTTTTCTTTTGTGTGGCTCCAGTATTGCATCACCAGAAATGCAGCTTGTTTTTCTTCAAGTCTCAGGGTGTGCCTGTCTGTGGACTTGTTCAAGACATTGTAATCTCTTTGTTTTGTGGCTGCAAACAAACATATTACGCTAGTCAGGGTGTACTAAATTCATCATGTGTCTGTTGTGTGTCATAGCCTGTTGGAGATGATGCTGGAGTCATCTTTGTCAGATCTGAGGGACTCTCAGGGTGTGTCTTTGCCCCATGTGCCTTCCCTGCTCCGCCTTCTTAGACTGCTCCAGGACTTCCTATTTGCAGAGGGCACTTGCAATCATACACTATGGAGTGAGAAGGTGGGGAATTGATGTCTTTCTGTCTGTCTGTTTGTCTGTCTGTCTATCTATCAAATATCTATCAAGTATCTGTCTGTCTTTCTATTTACCTATTAGCTTTGCAGCAGTTTTTGTTTTTTTCTGCCAAAAAAAAATTCTGCAGTGCCACGTAGTGCTCGCACACAGGGCATGGAAAGCTATGTGCTATAAAACCCATTCATTTCAATGGCCTGTTCTGCATAGGTGCAGTTTGTTGCTACACTAAACAATGAACAGGAGCAGCAGAGCACATTTTCGTCTAGCTTGCTCGCTCATCATGGTAAAAGTTCAATATAGTTCAATATTCCACTCTGTGGATATTTCGCTCAAGTACACATATAGGCATGAACCACACAAGCTCACCTGAAAAGAAAAGTCTGCTCCGATAACATGCCAACAGGACATGTAGCATGCTTGTTCTTGCTGCATTTTATAGTGCTATTGTGTTTTCGTCATAGAAATGCTGGTAAAATTATGCATCTCAGCTCCTTCACTGTCTATAATTTTTTGTTTTTAAATAATTATTATAAAGCATTTTTTGGCCAAATGCAAAAAGAATTTTTGGTTTCAGCCTGGAATTTTCAGTTTTTAGTGCATCCCTACTACCTATCTGTCAGTCTGTCTGTCTGTCTGGAGCAAGGTCTGACATCTATACAAGAACTCATTAAAATGCAACATCAGTAGTATCATGGGACAAAAGGAACATCATAAACAGTATCAATAAATACACATTATTTAATTCATTTCATTTAATTCAATGTGAAAGCGCTAGCAAAATGAACATTGTAAATTTTGACTTCAGATGGACTTTAATTATATTAAAAAGTATTAGCAACAAACTAGCTAATTGTTATTTAATGATAAAAACTATATAATTACATAACATTGTTAACCATTACTGTTACAATACAATATGTTCGAGCTGTGTGTTATAAACTTTCTTTCTTTCTATCTATCTATCTTTCTTTCTTTCTTTCTTCCTTTCAAAGCAGTTTGCACTATTTAGGCAGGCTGTGTACAGTTTGTTTATATGTGAAGAAGTATAGGAGTGTGTGTGTGTGTGTGTGTGCGTGTGCGTGTGTGTGTGTGTGTGTGTGTGTGTGTGTGTGTGTGTGTGTGTGTGTGTGTGTGTGTGTGTGTGTGTGTGTGTGTGTGTGTGTGTGTTTGTTTCAGATCTTTGAGGGGGTGGTGAATCTGCTGGACAGACTGAAGGCATGGCACACAACCCCCGGGTCAGCAGGCTCCGCTGAGCTCAAAGAGATGTCTCTGATCGGCCTGCGGATCATTACTGGATACATTCAGCAGCAGCAGAACCCACAGGTACACGCAAACAGACTCTTCCTAAGAAATAACCCTGGGCTGTCTTGTAACATTCCTGCTTTTTGACATTTACAAATGTGATTTTATTAGCTGATTATATGGGATGAAAACTGAAAATGTCAAACACAACTAAATAGAAATCACTCATGGTTTTGAAATTGCACAACTTTATACTCCCTGCTACAGGTGCAGACTTGAAATTATGCATATTTTTCATGTGCCATGTTCAGGATTATTAGATATGCCTCTCGGCTTTTGAAATGCTTATTTTATTTCACTTCATTTCACTGGAGTGTAGTTGTTCATAAATTAATGTGTACATGTGTGTGTGTTCTTAAACCAGACTCCTCTAGACTCAAACAAACCCATCGAAAGCCCTAATTAGATCATATAAACTGACTGAGAAACATACAGTGCTCAACATAATAAAGTACACTCCATTTTGGAAATGAATATTTTTTTACATTTCTCAGTAAATATGGGAAATATATTTTGGTGCATTTGAACAAAACAGATTTATTAAACAAAAAAAATTATATATTTTTTATTAATATAGTATTTTCCTTCTGTCCATCTTATCTTATTTTCTGTGAAAAAAAACGAGCTGAGTAAACAAATAGACTATAAATAAATAATTACCATGATGAAAGTTATAGTAAATGATAAAACAATTGCAGTACAACCTGCATATTTATAATTATAATAAATGTAATTATGATAACGAATGACAGTTTGGTTAAATTTCATCTTGCAGTTATATTCATGATTAGAATTTTATTTAATGAAAGACATAGGGCCCTATCATACACTCGGCGCAAGGTGTGACACAATTGTTGTTTGCTAGTTTCAGCTGGACTCAAGGGTCATTTTGAAGTTTTGCATCATGCTGTATTTAGCAAATGCATTTGCGGTTATTTGTGCGCCAAAGGTGTTCCGGTCTATAAAAGGAGGTGTGTTAAGGCGCATTGATTTTGCTGTTTTGCGGAACTAAAATAGACTGTAAAATAGACCAGCTAAGAGGAGGTCTAAAGTTCAGCGCAGAGCGTGTCACTTGTATACCTCACATTGCTTAATACACAGAGGATGTACAGCTATACCCAAATATCTTTACAAATGAAAAAGAATTAAAGGATTAAAATATTACAAAAATTATTATTTTCTACTGAAATAAAAACCATTGTTCATGACAATTTGCTTTTGTATAATGTTATTATTAGTTGTAGTAGCATTTATTATATGCATATTTATATTTGCTTTTATTAAAAACAAGCTTAGATTTGCCCACCTGTCAGGTTTTTTACCATATGGGGCACAGCATGTGTATTTGAATATAACTCAGTTGTTTGAGCAAACTTTGTTATTATTGGGAGATGATACTCTGATTGGTTTATTCTCAAAACACCTATAACTCATTAAGAAAATAAGCTCAAACCTTTTAGACCATGCGCCGTGGGGCAAAGCAGATTTTTTCATCCTTAAAATAGCAAAAGTGGATTTTAAAACACCCTTAATGCTTTTGAGCCCTGCGCTTTGGACTTTGGGCCTACATCGTCAAAATAGAGCCCATAGCCCTGTTTTGGATCTAGCTTTAAAAAATATATAAAATATTAAAGTTTTGTCTTTTTCACACATTCAATTCAAATCATCTTTATTTGTATAATGCTTTTACAATGTAGATTGTGTCAAAACAGCTTTACATAGAATATTATAGTAAATTGAAACAGTTCAGTGTCAGTTCAGTTCAGTTTAGATTAGATCTGGGGGCCTCGGGATGAGTATCCCCAGGTGGAAATAGAGAATAAAGGGAATAATTAGTGTAGATGCTGTTCATAGTGTATATAAACGAGATGTGTGGAGCATATTCATGCATCATTCCACTATGTGATGCATTGAGTGTATGCAAGCATATGCTTTGAGTATCATCTGCATAGCAATGAAAGCTGATCCCATGTCTTCTAATAATGTTTCCCAGGGTTAGCATGTGTAGTGTAAACTGCAAAGGACCTAAATCTGATCCTTGAGGCACCCCATACTTTACTGGCCTTTTCTGAAAACTGTCCATTAATATTCACAAACTGGTAACGGTCAGCTGAGTATGACTTAAACCATAGAGCCTGACCCTGGATACCTGTAGATGGTGTCATATTGCAGCACTAAGATCCAGTAATACTAATAATGAGATGCACCCTTGGTCAGCAGCTAAGTAAAGAGTAAATTGTTGGTTATTTTCACTAATGCTACTTCTGTACTTCTGTACTTGTATTTCTGTAAGCCCTGAAACTTGACTGAAACACTTAAAAAAAAACATTGTTCACCTGCAGAAAGGAGCATAATTGGGCAAAAACAACTTTCTAGTATTTTAGACATAAACAGAAGATTTGAAATAAGCCTGTAATTAGATACGTTGGTGTGGTCTAGTTGTGGTTTTTTAATAATAGGCTTAATAGCAGCTAGCTTGAAAGGGTTTGGAACATGCCCAAAGATAGAGAGGAGGTTAAGAAGAGGTTCTCCTATTAGAGTTAGCAGCTCTTTCAGTAATTTTGTTGGTATTGGGTCCAACATACACGTAGCGGGTTTAGAGCTATTATTAATTATAATTTTTTCTAGCTCTTCCTGTTATATGATTTTGAAGCACTGTAAATTTTTTGGATTCATTGAAATGTTTAAAGGATCTGAAGTATAAGGCGGTGCAGAATGTTTAACATCTTCTATTTTCTGTCTAAAGCCTTCTAATTTATCACTGAAATAATTCGTGAAGTCATCACTACTACTTTGTGGTTTTGTTTCAAAGACGTTATCAAAGACGACCGATTATTTGTTAATTTAGCGATGGTTTTAAATAAAAATCTAGGATTGTTATGATTATTTTCTATCAGTTAGTGGAGGTGCTCACCACTGGCAGATTTTAGAGCTCTCCTTTAGCTCGACATACTGTCTTTTTAATTCTAAAGACCTCTAATTTAGTTTTTTTCCCACTTACTTTCCTGTGCACGGGTTACTGTTTTGAGAATGTGAGTATGACTGTTATAACATGGTGTAGTTTTATTTTCTCTTGCTTTTTTTATTTGATGGGTGCCACAGTATTTATTGTGTTAGTAAAGATAGCATCCATACTGCTGGTTACTACATCAAGGTCATTTGCATTAGCAGGTGCTTTTACAAATAGAGAAAGATCAGGTAAGTTATGAATTCATCTTTAGTGCATGAAACGATAGTTCTACCAGGGCAGTATGTCTGTAAAAGGTTGTATAACACAGCTTGTATAGTAAAAGGTAGTGGTCTGTCATATCATCACTTTGTGGTATAATGTCTACATCAAGGACCTCAATTCCATGAGACAAAATTAGATCAAATGTATGCTTTAAGCGATGGGTAAATAAATCTATAAAAGTGAGCCCTAATGTATTGTTAGCGTCATCTATGTGGATGTTAAAGTCTCCTATAACTAGGATATTTATCAGTTTTAACTAGTAAGTCAGAAATAAAATCAGAAAACTCTTTTAGAAAATTGACAAATTGTCCTGGGGTCTATATACAGTTGAAACCAGAAGTTTACATACACTCTAAAAAAGGAAAATAACCATTTAAAAAAAAATGTCTGATGGTGAATCATACTAAACGTTTACTATTTTAGGTCTGTTAGGATAACCTAAATGATTTACATTTGCTAAATGCCAGAAAATTAAGATAATTTTTTTTAGAGAATATTTTATAAATTTCTAGACAGTCAAAAGTTTACATACATTTCCTTAGTATTCTTTTAGCTTTGCTTTTTAACTGTATAACTTTGGTCAAATGTTTTGGGTATCCTTCCACGACCTTCTCACAATAATAGTTTGAAGGAATTTTGGCCCATTCCTCCTGGCTGAATAGGTGTAACTGACTCTTGCTCGCACAAGCTTTTACAACTCTGCCCACAAAGATTGAGATCAGGGCTTTGTGATGGCCATTTCAAAACATTCACTTTGTTGTCCTTCAAGCCCAGGTTAACTAGTTTGGCGGTATGCTTAGGTTCATGGTCTTTTTGGAAGACTCATTTGTGGCCAAGTTTTAATTTCCTGGCTGATTTCTTGAGATGTAGCTTCAGTATTTCTGCATGATGTACTTTCTTCATGATGCCATCTATGCTGTGAACATATATATCTGTGAAATATCATCCTCCTGCAACAAAACAGCCCCACAACATGATGCTTCTTCCCCTATACTGCACAGTTGGGATGGTGTCCCCTAGGCTTGTAAGCTTTCCCCTTTGTCCTCCAAATGTAACACTGGTCATTATGGCCAAACAGCTTAATCTTAGTTCCATCAGACCACAGAACATGTCTCCAAAAATTATTATTTTTCCCAGTGTAATTTAGCAAATTGTAATCTGGCTTTTTCAGACGGATAATAATCTTATTGTATGTAAACTTGACTTTCAAGAAAAGTTATAACAATTTCTCAAAAAATCTCTCTCATTATTCTGCTATTAAGCTTAACAGAAACAAATTTGATAATCCTAACCTACCTAAGAAAGAAAAAGTTTAGTCACATTAACATCTGACTTTTTTAAATGGTTGTGTGCCTTTTTATACAGTGTATGTAAACTTCTGTTTCAACTGTATGGTGATTAATGCGAGAGATAATATAAGTTTTTACATAATATCCGGAAGCATTTGTGTTTTTAATTGAGATAGTAATAGTGTAATTGTTTGACCTTAAGGCTTGAGATGACATAGATGTTCTCATTCGCAGAAATCTTTTATTGCATTGTATAAATGAGTCATTCACTATAAAGTGCTTTTGAGATGTCAGAACTTGCAAAAAAAGTTAGAAATTTTTTATTTAACCACATAGTTGTTGTATTAATTAGACTTTAGGCTATAAGAAATTAATGTTGGTCAAGCTCCAAGCTGTTTTATAAATAAACTGCATGCAGACAAACAGTAAACAAACCTCAAATTGTGTCAACCCTTTCATAGAGAAATTGCATTGCAGTGTGATTAAATGTATATTTTTATAAGGTAACGTGTCCCTTTACCAACCCAGCTTTTTAGATTATGAAAATCTATTTATATTAATGAAATTATGGACAAAAAATCTATTTCCCAATAAAATATGCAATTGTTGCTATTTTTTTTGTAAATGATTAAATATCTAATATTTTGTCAAACTTTCAAACAATATTAACTGGCCCTTATTGGTTAATTGATAAATCTTAAGATGCTTTGCTGAGGTTATTAATTATTTGTTTATTTTCATAAAAGTTAAACATGACAGTGGAAGACAAGATCACAGGGTGGACATTGGCATGTATTTTTTATTTCAAACTGTCAATGAGCTCCATTATATAGACTTTAAAAGGATATGCCTTATATATAGACTGAGGCATATATTGCCAAAAGGTTTGTATTGCCCACTCATGTATCACATCTACTGTTGTATATACAGTATGTGTATAAGTGTTGTAAAACATAAACACATAAAAACATGAACTAATTAACAATAAATAAATAAATAAATATGTCTAAGTGGACATGTTAAGATTGACAACATTCAGTTTTAAGCACAATATTAATAAAAATAGGAAACATAAGTGTAGATACTTAATATGTGCAAAGCAGATGTTTTAACCTTCTCTGAAGAAAGGCAAAATTGGCATAGGGATACCAATCAGTACATCAGAGGGTTTCTTAAAGGGACATTCACCACATCATGACAGGGTGGACAGTAATTTCAAGGACACTTGAAAAATGATTAATAATATCATGAAAAAAAAGATCTAAAACACTTATTTTATCAAATAACTTGTTTAAGACAATAATAATATTTTTTAATCTAATTTACCTACTTTTTTGACTCCCTAAAGTTGGCTGAGCAGTGTGTGGGACATGGCAAATTCACATCTATACAATAAAATTGAGTTAAACATATTTCAAAACACTTATAATTTTAGCTACCTGTGTGTAAAGGTTTAACCAGTTATATCGAAACATCACAGTTTAATCATTTCACATTATGTTCACATAGCACTGATTTAGCTTGTGTAACATCAAAGGCACTTTATAGTGAAAATTACCCAAATAGAGCTAAATGCTAAATATAATAGCAAAAGGCTAATTCTTAAAACATTGTTTAAATATGTTAGCAGCAGTTAATATGTGTCAGCTGTGGGTTACAAAATGCTAGCAACATCATGCTTAAAACATCCTAATGAACATATTTTACTACATGGCTAATATATGCTAATTAGCTTATGTTTATAACGGTAAACATACTACAACTTGCTTACAACATGTTAATTTAAGATAGCATAGTGTTAGCTTAGCTGGAAACATGTTCATTCATTTTAGTGCTAGCAGAACTCTTAATTATTGTACAGTGGGTTAAAACTAGCTTTTTTTTAATAGCAGGATTCATAAATTCATCATTTCAAGTCTAAATGAAGTTCCTCAGGATATGAGCTCACATGAATATTTGCTGTGCTCTCAGGAACTCTATATTAATCTCAGACTGCCAAGTGGCACTCACAGTGAAAGCTGTATTTCAGAAATAACCCTACACAAAGACAAGAGGCTACCATGAGTGGATAAACCAGACTAGCAAGTGAACATGACTCAGTGTGCAACGTCAGTCAAAGATTCATGCGGGTATAACATGATTTCAGATATTGTTTTTGTTGAGCAAGGAATAATAGCTAACTGCTCACTACATCTTGTGCTGTATATGCTACAGAAATAAGCTGTGCTTCATGCAACTGGTTGGCTATATTGTTGCATGAGTTTTAAAATCATTTAATGTGAATTCATTTTTGGAATGTGATCAAATAATGAGCAAAAAAGATCATAGCTGGTATTATTTGCAGTTTATTTATGATGGAAAGTCAGATGAAAAGCATTGTGGAATACAATACCCTGTGTGCTATTCTCTATTGTATATAGTGCACTAGATTAAATACTAATGAACTAATTGTGGATTAAGCAGTGGTATCCAAAATGGAGCTCGGGCTCCCCCGGGGGGGATGCAAAACAATGAGGGAGGGTCGCTTGATGATTTTCAAAAATCAAATTCATTTTGTTAAACTATTAGAATTACCATATTTTATCCTACAGAAGAAAAAAAAAGGTAATACTTACAACAACAAAAAAACAACTACATCCAAATAAAAAGCCATTAGCCATTTTTTTGTTTTTTGTTTTGTTTTTTGAAACTCCTGATTATATCCTAATTACATTATATTAAATACACAACAATACCATCAGATGCAGCGGATTAATTTTATGGCATTATAATTTCTGACACCTTTATGGCACTCGCGTTTAAATGATGAACAGACTTGGGTCAGTTGTGTGCGTCTTTGTGTGCAAGGTTTATATATTTATAACCACCTCAAAGGATATTCTGGGTCGTGATTCACTGTCATTGTTATATTGGGGTTGGCGAGCTGAAAGGTTTGGGAACCCCTGGATTAGAGTACTGTTTGCCATATCATTCAGTATATACTTTATACTGACTAGTATTTTTTATATACAGTTGAATTCAGAATTATTAGACCCCTTTTAATTTTTTTTTCCCCAAATGATGTTTAAAAGAGCAAGGAAATTTTCACAGTATGTCTGACAATATTTTTTCTTCTGGAGAAAGTCATATTAGTTTTTTTTTTTTTTTTTTGGCTTGAATAAAAGCAGTTTTTGATTCTCTGAAAGCCATTTTAAGGTTTAAATTAAATTTAAGTTAAATAAAACTTTTGATAGTCTACTGAACAAAGTATCGTTATACAATAATTTGCCTATTTACCCTAACCTGCCTAGTTAGCCTAATTAACCTAGTTGAGCCTTTAAATGTCACTTTAAGCTGTAGAGAAGTGTCTTGAAAGATATCTAGTCAAATATTATTTACTGTCATCATGGCAAAGATAAAATAAATTAGTTATAAGAAATTAGTTATTAAAACTATTGTGTTTAGAAATGTGTTGAAAAAAAACTGCTCTCTGTTAAACAGAAATTGGGGAAAAATAAACAGTGGGGCTAATAATTCAGGGGGGCTAATAATTCTGACTTCAACTGTATATACATAATGCAGAGTGCAATATGTATCGATAAATATTTCAATACATAGTTTATACAGTCTTTATTAATAGAAAGCTTGCCATTGGAGCCAAGTGAAATAACATAAGTTCGAAGAAGGCTACTACTGCACCTACTACTTGTTTTGCAAACAAATGACACAGGTATATAACAGTAAAAATGAAATTGAAAAAGAAAACTGAACATTTTAAATGTTATTTCAAAATAATAATGCACACACTAATATATTGATAAAGTAAAATTATGATTACACAATGATTAAACTGTAAAACCTGTATTAAATGAAACAGCTCAACTGTTATATGTCTAAAACAAGTTGTGAAATTTAAATAAAGCTAAAATATGTTTACTACAGAAATGTTGGAACACTGAATAAAAAATCTAAATGAGTTTAATAATCTGTTTCACACAAAATATTATAGAATATAAATATATAGATTAAAAATATTTACAAAAGTATATAAAATATATGCAAAAATATTTAGTTATACTCAATATACTATATACTGAATATGTTTAAAGTGCTATATAGAGTCAAGCTCAAAATTATTCCTACCCCATGTATGAATAATTTTGAGCTTGACTGTTTATACTGGACACTACCTGACGAAAGTCATGTCATTGAGCAACAAATAACAACTTGACATCTAGTTGATCATTTAGAATAGTGGCAGAAGGTAAATTTTTCGAATGAACCATCTGTTGAACTGCATCCCAATCATCACAAATACTGCAAAAGACCTATTGGAACCCATATGAACCCATGTCTCTCACAGAAATCAGTCAAGTTTGGAGAAAGAAAATCATGGCTTTGGGTATCAAGCCAATTGTGCAGCCCATTACATTACAAACCACGGGAGAGGGGAAATTCTTCAGCAGGACAGTGCTCCTTCTCATACTTCAGCCTCCACATCAAAGTTCCTAAAAAGAAAAGAAGGACAAGGTGCTCCAGGATTGGCCAGCCCAGTCCAAACATGAACATTATTAAGCATGTATGGGGTAAGATGGAGGAAGCACTGAAGATGAATCCATGGAATTTTGAAGAACTCTGAGAGTCCTGCAAGAACGCTTTCTTTGCCATTCCAGATGACTTTATTAATAAGTTATTTGAGTCATTGCAGAGATGTATTGATGCAGTCCTCCAAGCTCATGGGAGTCATACACAATATTTATTCTTTTTCCACTGCAGCATGACTTTGTATTCTATTGTACATTATTTCTGTTAAGTGACAAGACTTTTGTCTAAGCAAAATCAGACCTTACTGTCCTAATTAAATAATTAAAAATCAATGCATGATCATATTATATTTTGGTAAATAAGTTCTAGGGGTCTTTGCCTTTCATATAAGCCATTCATGATACCAAATGATTATGCAATATAATAATGTATAGCATAGTAAATACTAATGAAAATTTGTACAGTGTGATTATGCCATTCTGAATACTTAAAAAGCTTTTACAAATCATTAAATAATAAACGTTCAGCACGAACAAAAAATTTAAAGACAAATAATTTCAAAACCATGAGAATAAATTTCAACATCTGCTGTTTTTTTTTTTCTCTCTCTCTCTCTCTCAGGTGTGTGAGATGGCATGTCTAAAGCTTCACAGTTTGCTTCAGACAGTCTTGTGTCTGTCCTGGGAGGAAGTGTGTTTTCTTCTGGGTCGTCTTGGTGCACCACTTTGTCCCGCAAACTCTACTTCAGGCACGAGTGCTGAGGGTTTTCTGAGTCCACTTGTTCCCATCGTCCGAGCACTGCTGGACCAGCATGCAGACCACACCACGCTGCAGGAGAAGCTGCCAAACCTCCCCGCAACCAACGGCAGCCCATCCTTTGCCCAGGACCTGCAGATATACTGCAGCACAGCTGAATGGCAGCAGTTTTACCAAAACCACGTCAGTATACAAATACACACATAGACACACTAGGGATATCAGGGTGTCCGCTGGGTCTTAAAAGGGCATCTATCATGCAAAATTATGATGTGGAATTACTTTTGTAAGCTGTTTAAACAGAAATGTGTGTAGTATAGTGTGTCCACAGTAATATTAGAGTGATAAACACAACAAAAACAAATTCTCTGGACTTAAAATAGCATCCAAATCCCAGTGAACTTGAAGTCCACCACAATGATCTGGTAGTGCGGTTTTCCCACCCACCGATATTAATGGACAGGCATGTATTAACATGTCACCGAATCAATGTATATAAACATGTCCACAAGACAGGATTTGCAAATAAAATGGGATTAAAAGATATGTTCCAACTCTCTGTGATCCAACTGCAATTTAAGAAGCAGTAAGTGGTGCACTTTGTATTTTTTATATCCTTTTACTACTTTTTGAGCTACGTAATTCATAACTGCTACAGTCGCCAAAGCTGCATAGTGTACAACACTATAAACGAGGATGCTTCAATCATACAACAGGAGTCCCAGTTTGTGGATGTTAAATCAGGTTTATTTTGTACAGTAACTTAGCTATATTGGATCGCCATACAGCAGCATATTTACTGGTTTGGTGGGCATCTTAGAACAGCACAAAGTGTTAAACACATGCGATTGTGTTTGTTTGTGTTTGCATTGTATGTAATATGCCACAATTTAAGTCAAAGATCAGCAAAGAAGGCAGCGACCGGAAGTCAGCGATTTAAATTTACAATAAGAAAATCTGAAATATTTGTGCTACAAAAAACATATCGATCTGTTTCAAAAGACATGCCTTTACCAATGGCAGCTCACAGGTTTTTATGACAGAATTGTATGCTTTTGGATGCTTCAAAAATAGGGCCACTATTTAACACCATTTTACAGCATGGAAGAGCCAGGATAAAATGAAAAACTACTCAAAATGTTTCTGAAAGAAAAAAAGTATTATACACAGAGGATGGCTTGAGGGTAAGTAAACTGAGTCATTTTTGTGTGTAAACACATTATAAACTGTGAATTTGCTGTCAAACCCTATTAAAAAGTAGCATTACAAACCTTATAATGACAAATATGTAGAACAAAAGAAATCACTGGCGAGGATAAAAGATGTGGGGATAGTTCACCCAAATATTTCGTCATCATGTCATCACCCTTTGATTGTTTAAAACCTTTATGAGTTTTTAATCTTGTGTGGAACCAAAAGAAGATATTTTGATGAAAGTTGAAAACCTGTAACCATTGACTGTTTTTTTCCCTATTATAGAAGTCAATGGTTACAGGTTTTCAGCAGTCTTTTGTGTTCAAGAGAAGAAAGAAGATTAGTAAATGTTGAGGAAATTATGAGTTTAAAGTTTTGAGTGAACTATGCCTTTAGGATTAGTAGTTAAGTAACTATGTACAAAAATCATAAGCATTCATTAAGTATTCATAAAGAGCTTATATAGAGATAAATAAGTTCTTATTTATTGCTCATATACCTATTCTTATCATTGAAAATGATTACAGTAAAATGTATTGACAAAATGTTGCATGAAATTAAACCGTCTATAGGATTTCCATTTATCATTATTAGAAAGCATTTATATAGAAAACCATTATTATTGCACAATTCTGAACAGCCCACAGACCTCACTAGTTTTCCAATCGTAGGCTACTGCCATACTCTAAGATTGTTAACAGACACTCAGTGTGACTGTTTACTTTACGATAAGCTGGCAGCTTCTCGGCCAGAGCCGTGTCTGTATATGCTACCACAAGCCAGTTGTGTTTGACCTTTTTTGGATGTAGAGTGACTAAAATAATTCTCTTTGCCTGCAGTCTCAGTCAAACACAAGATTGGTTCATCATTCACACAAATCTTAGTCCTAGAGGATATTATGCTCATTTGTTTTTTGAAATGACCCATTTCTTTATTGACAACTGTAGCATAGGATATATGGTAAAAACATTTTGGGGTTGTTTAGAAATAGCGTATTTTTAAGTTTCCTTGTACTATTGTCCATCGCTTATATATAGTAGACTAAATATGTATATATGTGTGCGTGCATGCGTGTGTGCGTGTGTGTGTGTGTGTGTGTGTGTGTGTGTGTGTGTGTGTATAAAAAAATTTGATAAAAACACTGAATTAAAACTGTACATTCACTGTAAATCCAAAAAAGTTAAGGTAACTTAAACCATCTGAGGAAACCAATTACAACAAACCATTTAAGCTCAAAAACTAATCTATATAAGTACTATGAACTTAATCCATTTGAGTAAATGAAGCAATTTGAGCATAATAAAACCCAATAAATGAAGAGAACTCAAGCCAACTGAGTACTGTAGAACACAATAAAACAAGGCAACTCAAACTGTTTGAGGAAACTGATTTCAACTAACCATTTGAGTAAAAAAAACTAATCTATATGAACTGTACTGTGAACTTGCTCCATTTAAGCTAAATTAATGAGGTATTTAATTAACTTGTTACCTTCAATGCTGAGTTCAAAACTCTTTTCAAATGAGTAGAATTAACTTTCAGTAAACTTTTAGTTAGCTACACTCATTTCATTTGATAAAGTTTATTTGGGTTTTAGTGTTAAAAAATAACACAAAAACTCAGAAATATATTTAAAAGACTAGAAATTAACTACACATTAAAATTAATTATGTTAATACTTTGTTAGTAATGTATGAATAATAATTATAATCACAATTAAAGCTGCAAGCAGCGATGATAGGGACCTCGCACCCGGGCTCACCGCCGCCCGGTGGCATCAGGATGACAGAGAACAGCGAACAGTAATAATTTAAGCCGATATATTAAAAATATCTGAGAAAATCACAGATTTATGCCAAACTTCCTCCTGTCAGCAGGTGGCGCTATAACACTGACTCATGACTGGCATGTAGATGTCTTCAGGAGAGGAAACTTATCAACCATGTGAAGTTTTAGGCAGATCGGACATTGTTTGGCTGAGTTATAAGCCAAACTGCCTTTTTTCAGCAGGTGGCGCTATGACAGACTCAATGTTGTTATGTAGATGTGTTTAGGAGAGGACTTTCATCAACCTTGTGAAGTTTCAGGCAGATCGGACTTTGTGTGGTTGAGTTATACTGCAAACTACCATCTGCCAGCAGGTGGCGCTATAACTGTGACTTAAGATTGGCATGTAGATGCCTTCAGTAATGGAATTTAATCAACTATGTGAAGTTTCAGGCAGATCGGAGTTTGTGTGGTTGAGTTATAAGCCAATCTACCTTCTGCCAGCAGGTGGCGCTATGACTGATTCAATATTGTTATGTGGATGTGTTCAGAAGAGGACTTTTATCAATCATGTGAAGTTTCAGGCAGATCAGACATTGTGTGGTTGAGTTATAATAACTTCCTGTTCCATGGCGAAGCGTTGAGGTTTGTCATGCCACCACGGACACGCCCCTCTGCAAAAACTCTAGATCTTCACAATATATCATCGCTAGAGCTTTCAGATGACACCACTCTATTTTGGTGCTGATACGGGAAAGTTTGTGGAAGGAGTTTGTTACAGTGTCAAACATGTCATTTCCTGTAGCCAGCAGGTGGTGCTATAATTGTAACTGGATATCGGCACGTAAACCTGTTCAGGTCAGGACTGTTATTAAATGTGTGAATTTTGAGGCAGATCTGATAATGCATGCCTGAGTTATAACGACTTCCTGTCTTGTGGCGGATCATCAACGTTTGCGAGGCCGCCACGGACACGCCCATCGACAAAAACTCTAAAGCTTCGCAATTTTACATCACCAAGGCCTTTAGATGACAAAACACAATTTTTATTGTCAATCAGATAAAATCCCTAGGAGGAGTTCGTTAAAATATAACGCCTAGAAATGGCAAAAGAGCCACTTTTTCGCCACAGGAAGTTAAAAATATACGACTTCCTGTTGAGTTTGAGATATGGCTCCAAGAGACTTTTTCGTATGTTTTGCCATGTTTGAGGTGTGTGCCAATTTTCGTGCATGTGCGTGATTTGTAGATCGGGGGCTCGTCCGTTTAATTTTTATAGGTGGCGCTGTTGAGTCGTTTTGCCACGCCCACTTCAATACTGTTATGTGGATGTGTTCAAGAGATGACGTTTATCAACCATGTGAAGCTTCAGGCTGATTGGACATTTTGTGGTTGAGTTACAAGGACTTCCTGTTCCATGGCGAAGCGTTGAGGTTTGTCATGCCGCCACGGACACGCCCCTCTGCGAAAACTCTAGATCTTCACAATATATCATCACCAGAGCTTTCAGATAACACCACCTAATTTTGGTGCTGATACGATAAAATTTGTGGATGGAGTTTGTTACTCCGTAAATCATGTCATTTCCTGTGGCCAGCAGGTGGCGCCGTAACTGTCTCTGGATATTGGCATGTAAACGTGTTCAGGTCAGGACGCTTATCAAGCGTGTGAATTTTGAGGCAGATCGGATAATGCATGCCTGAGTTATAACGGCTTCCTGTTTCGTGGCGAATCGTCAAAGTTTGCGAGGCCGCCACGGACACGCCCATCGACGAAAACTCTAAAGCTTCGCAATTTAACATCATCAAGGCCTTTAGATGACAAAACCCAAATTTGGTGTCGATCGGATAAAATCCCTAGGAGGAGTTCGTTAAAATACGACGCCTGGAAATGGCAAAAACGCCACTTTTTCGCCGCAGGAAGTTAAAAATATCCGACTTCCTGTTGGGTTTGAGATATGGCTCCAAGAGACTTTTTTGTATGTTTTGGTGTGTTTGAGGTGTGTGCCAATTTTCGTGCGTGTGTGTGATTCATGGATCGGGGGCTCGTCCGTTTAATTTTTCTAGGTGGCGCTGTCGAGTCATTTTGCCACGCCCACTTCCGAAGCCCATAACAAACGTAAATTTTCGCCACTTCTGAGGCGTGTGCAAAGTTTCGTGAGTTTTCGGGCATGTTTAGCCCCTCTAAATCGCGATTCATTCCGCGGAAGAAGAAGAAGAAGA